TCTGAACTCTGAGCTCCTTAATAAAAAAAATTATTTGTGTTCATTAGGCTCTATTCGTTAAGGAAAAAATGGGGACTCGTATTTTTGAAAAACTGCTACATGGTCAAACTGTAAAGGGGAGTTTGCTTAGTTTCCAGTTAACCTGAGAACTTGTTAACCATAAGATCCTATTCCTAAGTGTTCTAACTGGCTGAGTTTGCATGTAAATAATATACATTTATTAACAATACGTGCAGTTGTGAGTAGACTCCCTGCCAAAGGAAGCTGCCTTGACTTGGGTAAAAATTAATGGGCTCAACAATCCACAGAATGGAAGACAATGTTTGCAAATCATATATTTGATACAGGTTTAATATTCATAATGTATAGAGGACTCCTGAAGCTCAACAACAAAAAAACCCACCTGGTTAAAAAATGGGCAAAGGATTTCAACTGACATTTCTCTAAAGATATATCATTGGCCAAAAAGCACATGAAAAGATGCTCAGCATTACTAGTGATTGAGGAAATGCAAATCAAAACTACAATGAGATACTATCTCACACCCATTAGGATGGCTACTATTTTTAAAAATGCAGGAAACAACAAGTGCTGGTGAAGATGTGGAGAAATGGGAGTCCTTGTGCACTGCTGATGGGAATATAAAAATGATGCAGCCACTGTGGAAAACAGTATGGTGGTTCCTTAAAAATTAAATATAGAATTACCATATGATTCAGTAATTCTACTTCTGGGGATATACCCAAAAGAACTAAAAGCGAAGTCTTGAAAAGATATTTGTACTCTCACATTCATAGCAGCGTTATTCACAGTAGCTAAAAAACAGAAGCAACCCAAGTGTCCATTAACGGATGACTGGATAAGCAAAACGTAGTACATACAATGGGATATTAGCCTCAGGAAGGAAGAAAATTCCGCAATATGCCCTAACGAGTAAACCTTGAGGACATTATGCTAAGTGAAATAAGCCAATCACCAAAAGCCAAATACTGTGATTCCACTTTTATGAGATACTCAGAGTAGTCCAAATCAGAGCCACAGAGTAGAACAGTGGTTATGAGGGGTTGGGGGGAGGGGAGAATGGGGAGTTCTTGTTTCATGGGTATAGAGTTTCAGTTTACAAGATGAAAAGAGTTCTGGGAGTGGACGGGAGTGATGGCTGCACAATAATGCAAACGTATTTAATACTGCTGAATTGTACACTTAAACATAGTTAAGATGGCAATTGTTTGTGTGTTTTTTTAACATATCTTTATTGATTTCAGAGAGAGGAAAGGAGAGGGATAGAAAGATAGAAACATCAATGATGAGAGTCATTGATCAGCTGCAGCCCGCAACCCGGGCATGTGCCCTGACGGAGAATCAAACCCCGATCGCCTGGATTCTACGTCAATGCTCAACCGCTGAGCCACGCCCGGCCGGGCAAGATGGTAATTGTTGTTAGGTGTATTTTACCACAACAAAGAAAACTATTTTAAAACAATTAATGGGGCCAAGATTACACAGTGCACGATTCCATTCATATGACCTTCTGGAAAAGACAAAACTATAGTACTAAGAACAGGATAGTGGTTGCCAAGGGCTAGGGAGGGGGGAGGGGGTAACTACAAAGGGGTTCAGGGGGGAGTTGTTTGGGGGGATGGAACTATTCTGTATCCTCATTGTGTTAATAGTTATGAGAACCCTTACATGTGCTAACATTCATACACTATACACAAAGATAAACACTTTTACTATATGTTAACTTAAAAATAAAATTAATTAATTGGCTCAACTCCCTGTAACTGTTTTCCTTGCCTAGATAATAGCAACCCAAAAGGTTGAAGTTTGTGGAGAGAAAAAAGAAGAATCAGAGGCACAGGAGAGTAGGCAGGGAGAGTAAGAACTACATGCTGCATAACAATTGTTATGAGTACTTGGTTATTGCTTTTCTTTTTGGAGAGTTGTCCCCTAAAGACCAGTCTTATGTACTCCTTGGGGCTTCCTCTTTCTCTTTCCAAGTGTAAAACTATTCTGATGACCAGTAATTTCTGTTTGTCCTACAAGGCACTAAACACTTTGGTCCAATGTTGATTTTTACTTTAGTTTCCAGATTACCTCATTCCCCAACAATACTCAGGATAGTTAAGCCTTCAAAGCAAAGCCCTCTCTAACAGTTGCAACATTTGAACTCAGACAAAGCCAAGGGAAAGGCATTTTCCATAGTGCCTCCCCTCTATGCTCTCTAATTATGCCCTCTTGATCAGAGCTGCTAGATACAATGCAAGACAAATCTGTGATTTTTAATTTTTTAGTAGCCGAATTAAAAAAGTAAATAAAACAAGTGAAATCAATTTAATACTATATTTATTTAACCCAGTATATCAAAATGTTGTTATTTCAAATTCAAGCCATATAAAAATTACTGAGATATTTTGCAGTCTCTTTTTTTGTACTAAGTCTTTGAAATCCACTGTGCTTCACACTTAAAGTACATCACAATTTGACCTTGGCCTGGTAGTTCAGTTGGTTAGAGCATTGTTCCGGATATGCTGTGGGTTTGATCCCCAGTCAGGGCATATAGCAAGAATCAACCAATGAATGCATAAATAAGTGACAACAAATCAATGGTTCTGTCCCTAAAATCAATTTCTAAAAAAGTACATCACAGTTTGGACTAGCCACATGCCAAGCCCAGTGCAAACAGCCTCTCACTATTTGGACTTTGGTCATTACTGAGTACTGAGCCTCATTCATTGTAAACAAACACGGGGGGGGGGAGGGGTACTATGCACCAAGCATTATGCTGGAAACTGAAAATATAAAGTGAATCAGACATTGATTGTTCTAAAGCTCAGTTTGAGAGGGTGAGAAACACATAAAGAGACAATTATAAAATAATGTGAAAGAATCATGCATGACATAGATGCACTATTTTATCAGCACCTGAAAGGGAAAGGAAGTGACAAAAATGTAATTTTAGAGGTGGCTTGAGCCGCCGTCACGGATGTGTAATGTTAGCTCTATGAAGGGGATGGGGAAGGGCATTCCGGAGGTGCCCGCTTGAGCAAAGGCGCTGAACCGAGGGAGAGTGGGGCGCAGGGAACCTCCTAAGGGCGCATGTGAAGGCAAAGATGAAAGGCAAAGTGGGTCGGCACGCAAGGCCAGTTGATAGGCCTGGGAAGTTGTTTGGCTTCTAAAGTAAAGATCCCCCGACGCTTCCTAAAATTTCACCGGATTTAGGCTTTTGCGGGTAACAGTCGACACTCCCCTGGACTGGCTGCTCCGCGAAGGCAGGGCCACCACCCTACCCCAGGGCCTGCGGCGCTGCACAGAATGGGCACCAGTGGGTTTACAATAGCTCGAGTCCCCTCCATCGTTCTTGCCCCTCAAGCCCTCCCCAACTCCCTCGGCCGCCTGGGACGGGGGGGAGGGTGCCAGCCAGGCCCGCAATCCCCACGCAGCAGGGCGACTAACTCAGGGCGTGGGGCGTCCCCACCCCAGCCCTCGGAAGGTAACCCAGCGCGTAACCGTTCACCCGCCCCCCGCGGAGGAGCCACCTGAGGAGGTGGGCGAAAGAAGCAACCACGCCCCTCCGCTAAGGAGCGGCCACCGCAGCCCCCCCGGCGGGAAGCCTAGTACCTTGACCCGCGCCCCTGCAACACCCACGCGGAGCGCTGGCGACCCCGCCGGGGCCTGGGTCCCGGGCCAACCCCTCCCCGCGCGTCGGCGCAAAGAGGGTGGAGCGGCCTGACTCCCGCAGCCAATAAGAGCAGCGGGTTCCTGGTCCGATCTCCCGCGCGGCTCGCCATTGGTCACAACCCGGGTCTCGGCCCACCGAACCTTTGCGACCCGAGCCA